TTTCGATTCCCCGGTCTCAGCCATCATCGCCAGAGGCTGCCCGTCCCCGTGCTCGTTCGTCCCATCCTCCAAGTGGCCGTTCCTCCCGTCCTCCCCGTGATCATTCTTCCCGTCATCGACAAGTATACCCTTCTCAATACCGAGATGATGATGAAACTTCATCAGACGGTGATGATAATGATGTACCAAACAATGAATGAATTTTAGACAATTTGAACTAGACAAATACAATTTGTTTTCCATTGGGTTGTAATAAGAGTTAACTTAGTTTGGTAGTTCTATTGATATTTACACTTTCTTAGTTTTAATATAGCTTTTAATGTTGTTTTTGTGTTGTTGTTGTTTTTGTTGTTGGGTTGTTGTTTGGTATTGTTATTGGAATTGTTGTTGTTGTTGCTTGTTAGAGTTTTGGTATGACTGACAGGTGGTGTAGCTGCCAAAACAGGCAGTTTCTGCCAAAATAATATACAGAAAAGCGACCAAAGTTGGTCTCTATTTGGTCGCTTTTCATGTTAAAAAAAATAATTTTCTGGAGAATAGCGACCAACGTTGGTCGCTATTTACCCAGATTTCTACAAAAAGCGACCAAACTTGGTCGCTATTTCATTAAAAAAATAAAATTTCTGGTGATATAGCGACCAAAGTTGGTCGCTAATATTTAAAAAATAAATTAAATTCATGTATTTAGGGACCAAAGTTGGTCGCTAGTTTAATAAAATAAATAAATAATTGAATAAAAAAGCGACCAACATTGGTCTCTAGTTTCCAGATTTTAAAATATAATATTTGGATTAGAGACCAAAGTTGGTCGCTTTTTAATGATTAATAATAAATAAATAAATAACGTATTTTATATTTAGAGACCAACTTTGGTCGCCAAATTTATATTATTAAATTAATAAAGCGACCAAAGTTGGTCTCTATAGTCAATATCCGGAAAAATTGGTCCATTTAGTTTAGAGACCAAAGTTGGTCGCTAATTAGCGACCAACTTTGGTCCCTAAATAAAAGGGACCATCAATATAGCTACCAGGCCCTTTTGATCGCTTTTTAGCCCAATAGCGACCAACTCTGGTTGCTTTTTGCGGTCGCTTTTTCCCGGATTTCTAGTAGTGGCTGTGAATGAATTACATTTTAATGAATATTTCAGTTGTTTTTGTCCTTTAACAAAGTATGTATTTTTGTTATTGTTGCATTTTTGTTAATGTTGCAGGGTTTATACATATGTATTCAATAATATACATAGTTATACAATTTTATACAAACTTATACTTTCATTTATACATCTGTATACATATAATAACATTGATTGTTTGCAGTTCTGTTTTGCATTTGTACAATCTATCAATATATTTAGCACCATTAAAAATAGCAATACACTATTATTGAATAATTAAAACATTTATAATGAAACATATTTAACATAATTGCAACATATAGTGTAAATTGTAATTCTTTATTGACATTTGTAACTCAATTGCTTGTGAAACTTAACTACTCAATATTTGTAACTCTATTATTTGTGAAACTTAACTACTCAACATGACAACATATGTAATAGGAAGTGTAATGTTTCTAACTATTTATTTTGGTCGATTCATACATATTTTTCTATTGTGACCACTTTGTCCACACACAGAACATGAAAACGTCTTCTTAGACTCTTTCTTTGAAGGAGGTTTGAGTCTTTCCTTTTTTGGCCTTCCTGCATTTCTTCTCCCTTTAGGTGGTAGGACCACATCTTCCAGCACCTCTGTTGGGATTACCCATAAACTCTCATCTAGCATCAGATTTACTAGAAATGTATAAGTTCTAAAGAGGTTATCCTTCTTGTAGAAAAAAGAGCAATACTGGCCAGGTTTTAGCTGTTGGTTCTTCAAAACCGCCCAAGCATACGAACATGGAAGTTCATCCATTTGAAATTTGCCGCAACTGCATGTTCCTTCTTCAAGGCACACTATGTTTCGCCTTACCCCTTCAAGCACAGTATATAACTGCTCTGTAGCAGGCCTCACCCCCAAAAGTTTTTTTTAAAAAAAAAAAGTTAAAGCACATTATACATTATCATATAGAGTTATACATTCTTATATAAACAGTAAAATGCAAGTCAGCAGTGCCATGCATCATTATATTTGATTAGTTTTACCGTCACTTGCTCTGATGCAATCAAATTTTCCCGAAGGAGTTTGTCGTACTTTTCTCCAAGCTCTGTAGATGTCTCCATTGCACTTTTTCTATTTTTGTTGTTCCACTGTTGTAGTAAATTTGTCATGTACTCCCGTAATCGCATTACTGGTAACTCTCTAGCATCTTTGTTTGTTGCATTAATTGACTCTACAATATTGGAAGTCATTACCATGGACCTTTTCACTTTGGAGTATGCCCTAGACCACCTTTCGTAGCCAATTTCAAACAAGTAAGGCTACACCCTCGGATCAATTTTGCACATCTCTGTCATATGGTAGTCAAACTTCTCTATCGTGTAAGCTCTAGCCAAAGCGAAGAAGATATCCTTCAATTGTTTGTGATATTTCTTAAATGTGTGCTTGACATTCTGCCACAAGTGAAACATGCAAATACAATGTGGTACTTCTGGGTACACAGCTTTTGTGGCATTCAAGATGCTTTCATTTCTATCTGAAACTATACGCATCCCTTCCCTAACACCAAAAGTACCCTTTATCTGGACGAAGAACCACTCCCAAGATTTATTATTCTTTGAATCTACAATTGCATATGCAAATGGAAGGATTTTTCCTGTTTATACAAAATAGATATTAGGATTCAGACAATTATACAAATCTTATACACAGTTATACACGATTATACAACTTTATACATACTGCAAATTTATAAAAACAACAGCTATGAAATCCTATACACGTTTATACATGAAACTACAACATTATACAAGCTGTAAAAACAAGGTAGATGCAGTCAACTCACCATCTCCATCCTGTGTGCAAGCAGTCAATATGGTACCCTTATATGTTGCTTTAAGGAAACTTCCGTCAACAACCATTATCGGTCTGCAATGCTCCCAACCCTTGATAGATGCATATAGTGAAACATATACATAAAGAAAGCATCCATCTTGTAATTTGTGCAACTTTGTAACCGTTCCTGGATTTGTATGCTCCAACATATACAAATACCTCGGCAACTCCTTATATGAATCGTTTGGATTCCCTCTTATTATTGTCATTGCTATCTCTTTAGCTCTCCATGCTTTCATGTAGCTCACTTCAACCCCGTGTTGCTTTTGTATGTCCTCTATTATATCATTTGCGATGTAAATTTTTTTTGGATTAATATACTTGTCCTTGACTATACTAGCAATTACACCCGAAGTAGCTTGACGTTGTGTTAAGTATCTTTCACCATAGCCGCATGTGTGATTATTATTGTAACTTCTCACCTTGAATATGTTTGCCTTGTAAATGGCAGAAGATTTGAAACTCCAAGCATAATTGTCATCCACACACATAAGGTGATACCTAGGATTAAAGATCATTCAACTTCTAAATACACTTGTATACAAAAACATAACTAGATATATACTAATTTTAGTACCTATATACAAATATATACTACTTTATACATATATATAACAGAATATACAACTATTGCAATACCTTGTTGCGCTTGATCTCTTCACCTTGAATTGGGACCTCATGCGTACAGCCAAGTTCTTCATCATACTAACAAATGTCTTTTTATCTTTATAAACTTGATCCTCCTCAGCAAATTCGTTCAACATATTATCTATTATACCCGTGGTTTCACTAATTTTTGTGATTTCAATAAATTCGATACCAGGCATAATCTTTGTGCTATCAATTCTGGATACATCTATACAATTGGAACTTGTAGTAACCAAACAACTAGAACTTGTAGCAACCAAACAACTGAAACTTGTAGCAACCAAACGATTATCATAAATCTCTTTCATAGTCACATACAACGGGTATTCAGAGAAATTTAAGTTTTTCTTCTTTAATTCGATATACACCTTAACACCTGTATCATTGTAAATCAGGATCAGTGGCAAACCATCCTTTGGAAGAAAGTTAATCTCTAATGTGTTTAACTCACAATCGATTCTAATTTGTTCCAGAATAGTTGCAACTAAATTGTTGTAGCTGAATGTCGACTCTATTATTACACAATCGCTGACGAAATTGATAAACTTGTTTTCTTCCCATTCACCACTATGAAGAACGTAAACTGAAAAAAGCTCCATCGAACAAAAAGTTGAAATCAAAATTGCAGCAAAAATAAAAATTGCGCTGATTGCAGCAAAAAAAATTCACTTTTCGTGTTTGATTAGCTGTTAATTCGAGATGAAGAAGAATTTCTAGGGTTTTTGGAGTTGCATTGACTGCAAGATCGCATTTTTGTAGATTTGGGAAGAAGAATGGAAAGAATGAGAGAAAATACTGCTGAAAGATACAAAATTCCGCTTCTGAATCCCAAAAAATGGAAGGAATTTTTACCTCCTATAGCAAAGGTTAACACCTTATTTATTGTAAATAAATACCATTTAAAAAAATTATATTCTATAGATACCTTTTGTCACACCTTCTTTTTTCCTACACCCCGTAAAGGGTATAAGAGAGTTTTTTCCAACTTAAAGTGACAATCGAAACGAGATTCATTTATTATTAAAAATTCAGAGTCGCCACTTGGGATAATTTATGGTGTCCCAAGTCACCGGTTCAAATCCCGAATCAAGGAAAAGATTGACTCTGTTTTACAGTCCGCGAACACAGAAATCCGGGTAAGGAATTCTGTTAATCCGGGAGAAGGTGTTAGGCATTCCCGGGTTCCGTGGTTCTAACACGGTCTCTCAACTGTTATAATTGGCCTATTATCTTATTTTAATACATGTTTTAGCCTATGGTTCAATTTTAACTTATTAACCGCTCTTATTCATTTTTAGGAAGATTGCAACGTCATTTAAAATATGTCTTGAATCACGTCACATAAATGCACCGGCGGTCCACGACACAATTTATTTAACGTTGTTGGGATTTGGATTTGGGTCACATGAAATGCACACCCGAGTTTAGGAAGGTAATTTCAAATTACGCGCCTAAAGTAACTACGCATTTTTTCAACTTTGCGAGGGCCATAGAAAATTCGCTAAATGGCATGCCTCGAATTCTAAGGATTTAAAATTAATTAAATGAGGGCCATGAGTTTTGATGTTTTGTTGTGGATGGAGTGGTATAAATTGATAAGTACAAAAGGCCTAAAGAAATGGGTTAGCTACATGTATATTACTAGAACCTTTTGTTATAGCATACTACAATTCAGAAAGGTGGAGTTGGCATTTATGTGAAAATAACAAAAGACAGGTGCCAGCTTTGGGTTCATCTCCATATCATCTTCAAAAGACCGACTTTCGTTTTCAAATTCTAGAAAGAAACTAACAAAATT